TCTCCTGGGGGCGAGACAGCTCAGCTTGTCCCAGGGAAGCTCTGGCAAAGCCACCATCACCAACCCATCACCATCATTCATAATTTCCTTCTCAGTGATCAACCATTTCTCCCTTGGCTTTTTATGACCCTCTTCAGCCTTTTTTGTTTGGTTGGTTGGGTTTTTTTGGCCCTTGTTTTCAGTGGTTTTCTGCTCAGAGGACCAAGCTAGGCCGGGAATCCCGCTGAGTCCATCACGGCCCGGGAAGGCAGGAGCAAGGGCAAAGATTTGGCCTGTCCGCGTTCAGCCTGCAGCACAAAGCCCTGGATCCACTTTCCAGCAAACGAGAGGAGGGTCCGAGTCCCGGGGAAGAGCCCAGACGGCTGTCAGGGACCCCGGGGCCAGGATGCTCGTGAGAGACGCAGGGTAATTGCACCGAGGCTCGAAGCAGATGGAAGGGCCCTGTTTGCACTTACCAGCCATTAAATGATCAAACGGAAATCTGTGTAAAACAGGAGTGCTAAAAACGCACAGATGCTTTAGTCCGAGAGATTTGGGTTTAAGGGACAATAAAAGACTTCAGATTGCCACTAAATTGCCTTGAATCTTATCTAAGCACCGAAAGCAGAGAGCGAGCGGACTCTTATCAAGACAGTTTATTGTTCTGGTTGTTGCCTGTTCCTGTTATTTAGCAAACCTCTCCCTGGCTTAGGTAGTCTTCAGACCCTGCGGTGGGCGTGCAGGGAGAGCCCCTGATAACCCAACAGAAAAGGGAAGGAGTTCAAAGACGTTATCTCCATCTCATCAGGCACCTCCTTCCCTGGCTCCATAACAAAGGACAACATCTCAATACATGAGTGAAAGACCCGAGTCCTCAGCCAGAGGAAGGAGATGAAAAGGATTCCGCATCAAAAGGTTTCAGGACCACGGCTCGATTCCCAAGGACCCAGTTGCGAAGATCTTGCATTACGTCTCTAGGACACACACTAGATAACACCTACAAACCCAAGCCACGACCACAGCCCCAGGATCCCTGTAACACACTGATGATATCAGCAGACGTAAAAGAAGAAAAAAAAAAAGACTTATCTAGTCGATAAGCTTCACACAACTTGAGCCATTCATTCATCAGCAACTCGAGGGAGGCATCTGCAAAGCCCATGCATCACGGGGGCAAAACCCCAGGGGTTGTTGTTCATTCCTTTTAGGAAGACCAACCTTAGTTTTATGCCTAGTAAATAATATTTTACTGCCTTTGGTTTACTGTGGCATTTCAATGATCCCCTTTAGGAGTCTGCAAAGTGCGTGGGTTAAAGGTCATGTCTCAAATCACTAGAATTAGTAAAGAAGAGGAGAAAACTGTAAAAGAGGGCGGGGCCGCCCCCGGGCTCGGCTGCAACCACCTACTAGAGGGCCCCGAGCGGGTCGTCTGCGCTCCGCAGGCACCCGCTCCTGTCCGCGGGCAGAGCCCAGCCCGGACGGGCAGGCAAACGCGCCCGGCTCTCGGCAACAGTTTGGCAATAATCAAAGCAAACACTGGATCGCTTTCGTTGCCGGAATTTTTGAAGTCGTTGCTTTAAAAAAAAAAAGAAAAAGATCACATTTCTGGACAGGGAATTTATAAATCACGGGCAAGTTTTCAAGTCATGGAGTATAGAAGTGGAAATAAAAGGCAGAAATCCAAACATCCTGCAAGTCTTTAAGAATGTTAATTTCTTCTCGCTATTTAAAACAGCTGGGCGAGGCTAAGGGGGTGGGAGAGAGAAAAGAATCAACAAGGTTACAGCCGCTCAGGCTTCCCCAGCCTTTGTTTTCTAGGTTTAGTTGCAACAGAGACCTTAAGTTAATAGAGAACTCATTTCTGTGTGTTTTACTGCTAATGGTTAAAGTGTTTGGATCGGAAACAATGCAAATTATATCAAGAGAAAAATATGGAGAGCTATCCCAAGAGCAGAGACCCAGCTTTTGTCAGGCTTTTTCTTGTTTTGAGTGGTAAGGATCTGCTACAGATGTTAGAATACAATGAGATTTTTTTAACATGGAAACACATGATTTCCAATACACTTCCTTGGGTAGCGTAACTGGTTTTAACAGAATACTACATCCAGTCATGTATTGTATGTATGTGTTCATGTCAACATGAAACTCCAGATGATTTATACCTTGACATCCTGGCCTATGGCCATTCACCAAAAGCAAGATCCATTCAGAGGATGATACACACATCTTTCCACCACAGAGAAATCGTTTGGAAAACAGAAAGCTATTTTCTAGGAAAGAAGGTAAGATTTCATACACTGTTTACTGAATCACAGCGCTTGAGTATATAGGATTATACAGTATTAATGGATACCACATATGTATTTAACTGGTATCTATGTCAAATTACACAGGCCTCATCCTGCAAATACTTAACCAAGTTCTTTACTACTCCGGGGAATTGCACATGGCTATCGGGTTTGCAGGATCAGGGCCATACAGGACACTGTGGTGTCCTTATGATGAGATGCACTTATGTTACTCTGACCACTTAACCTGCACTCTGCCCACTAATCCATCACCCCAGGCACTACTGCTTGCATTCCAGTCTCCTGAACACTTTCAATTAAAGACAATTAAAACAATCCCCCCCCAAAATATATTCTTCCTTATTCCCTAAAATGTCACATTTCTCTCCCTGACCATCCTTTCCTCTCTAAAGAAATACTCTTATGCGTGAGACACAGACGTACACGCTATTGTCACATGAAAATTGTATAATATAATTGTATAATATTGTTGTATAATAATTGTCATTTTTCCTAAAGCCCCAACTGCTGACAGCAAGGAATCAAATGAAAATCTAATCTTGCATTACAAATGAAGTTTCTAGCCCTTATGGTTGCTGAGAGAAAAAAATGAAATGCTTCAGAAACTAGAAAGTAAAGAAAAGAATCTGAAGCATTTGAAAGCCAATCTCATGAATTTTTTGTGGGGAGAGGGAGAGCTAGACTCATGATTTTTGCACATTTGGGGTCAGTAATAGTGGCAGAGAAGAGGAAATGTTTAGTCCTGAGTCAGCATGTGCATAAATCACTGCAGGACTGGGACCTAATTTTAGATATGACAAGAATGAGAATAACAAACAATAAAAGGAATGAAATGACAAAGGAAAAGATTTATAGCAATAAGGTCAGGCAATTACTCAGGTTTGGTACATGTTCATGTCAGTGGCTCTGTTACATGTATAAAGATGTATTTTATTTTATTTGTGATCTTCTCATATTACTCATTCTCTCCTGAGCCATGCAAAGGTTGTAAAAACCACAATTTAAATATGGTGTAGAACATTTTAAAACACCTTTTTAAAAATTTGTAAAATATGTGACATACACCGAACACACAGCAGAGTGGTGTAAAGGTTTCTGTGACATTAGCTTGTTATTAAACATCACAGCAATTACATTGCTTACTATAATTCTTCTAAATCAGGCTTTACACCATCAGGTATGTGTATAAGTTCTTTCTTTCTGAATGTGTATGTGGGTATATTTATAAACACCCACTAATGTATGTGTTGGGTCATTTGTCATTCCACAAGCCACAACAACAATCAGCATTTGTTTGCATTATAGATATCTAAATGTTCAACCAGTCACATGCAGTTTTTGTTATCACAAGTTACAATATCCAGTATTCAAAAATCATGTCTGTGTGTTCTGTCCCAATTCCACTGAGACAGCAAGTAACAGGCTAGGTACAAGCTGCTTGTGGCAGGATGAACTACACTAGAAAGTAAAAAGTGTAAAAGAGTCTTCTAAAAAACTAAGATATCCTAAAAATAACTGTCCAAACAGAATGCATAGGATGAAGTCCTAGTAGGTGGGGTTGAGCAGCTGGGGCAGGTGCAGGCTGCTAGGATGTCAGAAGACAGCATTTTCCTCCTCACCCCGGGGAATCTTGCAGCACACGTCTGTTGCTCTTCTGCTACATTAGCATGCTGTGGCACACCCTTTGGGAATCATGGATTTAGCTCTATCTTTCCTATTCATAAATCGCCTGTGAGTGGACTTTGAGATTTACCAAGTTGATTGTTATTAGGCACTACTTGATGACTAGTTTTTACAAAGTTATTTGCATTTTGGATTATTTGCAAACTATTCATAGCCAGTAGTCAGTCAGTTATTCAGTACTTGTGCTTTGACATTCAAGCTCTGTGACTGGTTACCTAAGCGACACAGCATTTTTTCTGTTCTCTGACTGGATTATTAAAAAAAAAAAAAACCCTGCTTCTGCCTCAGATTAATTTTTTCATGATTTAAATGGTCTAAAAATCACCCCTTTAGAATGTTTGCACGAGCCGAACTTTAGCTACGTGACTGGTCACACGTGGCAAATAGTAAAACCAGACTTAAAAATCAACCAAAGAGCCCAATACATAGAACTGAACACAGCCCCACTCTGCAACTGTCAGATTCAAATGTGGGAATAAACTTCTGAGTCCCCTGGGAATAAATTAATAGGTCCTACATACTCAGTGGGTCAGAATTAGCTCCTCCATAAATTTATCTTGCTGCATGGACTTGTGGCAAATGAGCCTCTCAGCTGAAGTGTCCAATGGTTTCTATACTTTATGAAGCTGTCCCAGGTTTCTATCACTAGTCCATCTCCCTGGCATATTTTCATCTGCTCTTTAGGGCTTAGCAAATGGTAACAATGCACTTATCTATTTGAGAATTGACTTCTTGCAGTGTTACAGCTGGAGAGCTTTGAGTTGCCCCAGGGGAAAGAAGGCTATTGACTCCTTTGCAGGGTTTTTCTACCATTCATTTCCCTTCAGTCCTGATAGTTTGTTTTCCTCATAGGTTTGGGAATTGCAAGAATCAGAGCATACAGCAGAAGTCCTCATGGGTGCAGAAGGTGAGTGTGTAGGCATTGTCTCTATGGTTGCACTACCAGAAACCCAGAAAAGAGCATAGCAGTGTCACCAAATAATTCCTACAAGACTTTAAATTAATATAATTGGAGCCTAGTAAAACTACATCCCTTCTGTTTTGTCTTTTCCTCCCCTGCAAGTCTGGGACAATTTTGGCTTGACTGTGAGCATAATTAAGATTACAAATTTCCATCGGTCCTCACATATGGGATATGGTTATAAACTGGGTGAGAGCTGCTGTGATAAGACACCTGCAACAGTTATCCTTGCTGGTAATAATGGATGTCAAAGTCCAATTTCTATGCCCATGACCCAGTGTACTATTCTGCCTTTTGCTTCAGAGAGGGAGGAAAAACCATCAAAGTTTGTAATGATTTGTTGGTATCGTACTCTCAGATCCAGTAACACTGGACCTCCGTTCTTTATTGTGCTCCAGAGCACTCCAGCTTATTTACAAAACGGCTCCTTTCTACTATGGTAAGAGTATGACAGACACTTGTTACTATAAAATGTATTCCTTTAGACAACTGTTGTAACCACTGAATCCCACACTGCTGGCATCTAAACCTCATTACAACCACTCTCCCATCTGAGGATTCTTCTGCAGCAACCCGCAGTTCAAAACCCAGCGACCACAGTGTAAAGTCATCAGCAAACAGCTGCACAAAGTAACAGCTATAGTAACAGACACTCAACTGTCTAAGAATAATCATTTTCTTGTAGTTAAATTAACTGTTTCTATTGCAGGTTGCCAATACAGCACCCTTTGTTCGCTTAATTAGCTCTCTTGCTAGCTTGTTTTCTTGGTTCTCATAGTGCCCTTCCTGCCTGAACTCTCAGGGATCACACAACAGCATGTCCATGTGGGACAAAATCTTGGCTTTAATGAAGTCAAAGGCAAAACAATCATTGAGAGCCTGACAGGAAACTGGCTTGCAAACCTAGTGAGGAGGACTTTAAATTGGATTGAATGGGGACGCAGACAAAAGGCCACAGGCAAGTAAAAAGCAAGGTGACCCAGATAAAGGCCAAGAAAGAGACTGTAACACGGGGAGACTTAACAGTATTTTCAGAGAGGTAGTTAGTATCTGATTGAAGTGTGGCTCACAAAAAAGCTCCCTATGAAAAGTTTATGCATCTCTCATTCAGTTGTCTATAAGGTGCCAGGTACCTTCTGCCAGTATTTTCCAAGGAAAATTAGCAAGACAATTGTCTAGTCATCTACATTATTTATATAATAATGCAAGGAGCACAGGGAATAATTAGGAATAATTGGAAGTTCCAGTACGGTCAGAGCAGTATGATTTCATTCAGATTTCTGAGACTTGGTGGGATAATTCACATGACCAGAGATGGATTGGCATAAGTCGCTCAGGAAGATCAGGCAGAGGAATAAAAGGAAGTGTTTTTTGTTTTTATGCATAAAACAAAAATACACTTGTTTCAAAGTAGGCAAGGTGGTATGGAGCTAGGCCTGCTGAAAGTCTCTGGGTCAAGGTGAAAGAGCAGAACAGAGAAGGCGTTGCCATGGTGGGTGTCTGGTAGAAACCACGTAGACTAATTCTACTGTGCATTAACGTGAAAGCCACGCCAATGTGCTAATGCACAGTAGAATTAAACTACTGAGTATTAAGCATCAAGAAAAGATGGTGTGCCTTTGCTACTGCACATTTATGTAGTACCTGGTATTAGAGGGTTCCTATATACATGCAGGGAGGCTGTTCCAACATGCTGTAATTACAGTGCGTTGGAGAAGACTCAATTAATTGAGTCTACCAGAGCGTGGTAATTATTGCATTCCAGCAGACTTCAGCATCACATGTATCAGTGTCCCTGCACTGAAAAATGGCAGTGGGGTGCTCTAGTTCATAGTGCCCTGCCATCATTTTTCGATGAGCTTTAGTTCATAGCACCCTGCTGCCATTTTTCAGCATGGGGACGCTGATGCATGTGATGCTCCAGGTGCTTTAATTAGCACGGCTCTCAAAGCTACACTAATTAAAGCACCCCACCTGCTAGCACCCCCATCTATAAATGCCCAGAGGTACTAAACTTAATGCTAAGTAGCAAAGGTGCATTAATGCATGTGTACACACACCCAGGCAGTTCAACAAGTTTAGAGTATGTTGGGGATAACTTTTTGGTACAGGTAGCGAAGAAGCTAACTAGGGGTGAAACTCTTTTTGAATTGCTGGAGGAACAGGTCAAGAATGTGAAGGAGACCATGGGATGACAGAATTCAAGGTCCTAACAGAAGGAAGGAGAATATCATAGAAATGACAGAACTTCAGAAAACATACTTTAACAGACTCCAAGAATTGGTAGGCAGGATTTCATGGTAAGCAAATCTAAGGGGGAAAAGGGTCCAGGATTGCTGGTTGTACTTTAAAGATCATGCACAACAGCAGGCTATCCCAATGCAAAAAAAGGATAGGAAGTAAAGCAAGAGCCTGGTCTGGCTAAACAGAAAACTCTTTAATGAGCTGAAATTTAAAAAGGTATGTTAAAAAAGGTATGGCCATGTTACTAGAGATGAGTAAAAGAATGTTGCACAGGCATGCAGAGAGAAAATCAGGAAGGCCAAGGCATGAACTGAGATGCAGCAAGCAAGAGAAAGAACAGGAAACAAAAAGCATGTATGACAGAGATAAGGGAAAGACCAAGGAAAGTGGGAAAATGTAGGGCCCTTAATGAATGGTGATGGCAAGCTAATAGCAGATTCTATGGAGAAGGCTTATATATTTAATGCCTTTTTAAATTTAGTCTTTACAATAGTAGTGTTGGAGTGTTGTTGTAGCGATGATGGTCCAGGAGATGTATGAGAAGCAAGTGGATTGCTTGATATCTTTTACTGGATCAACTATATATTTGGAAGAGAAGATTCACAAGGTTTCAGGCACAAAACACTCTTCTTGAAAACTGAGAAAGAAGCATACATGGGCTAAGCTAAATAACAGAAAAAAATGGTCTGTGGTCTTTTTCTTTTCCATATTTAGATTATCCTTTCAACAGCATTTCTAGTTTTGAATCTACTTCTGATCACCTCTCTTTGCTCCTTCTTCCTAGTGACCCTTCGTTCCTTAAGTGACTTCTTTCATTTACATTGATTTAAAAACAAATCATGGTTTTGTTTTGCTTTCCCTGTTACTTCGTTTAGCCTGTGTCTGCTGCTTTTCCAGATATGAAGAAAGAGTACTTTGTGCCTGAGCTTGTCAAACTTCTCTCCCAACTATACAGTTGGTCCAATAAAAAATACCACAGAAAGCCCTTGCCTTTTCACAAATAAAGTCAGAGGATGAACACAACTGGCAATGCACACAAGGGAGGAGATAATCAACTTAGAGTAGAGGAAGAACAGGTTAGAAATTACTCAGAGAACCTGGATATTTTCAGGTCAGTAGGGCTAGATGAGAGACATCCTGGAGTACTCAAGCAATTAGATGAAGCAATTCTAGAGTCAATGGCTATTCTTGTGGAGAACTTGTGGAGGTCAGGTGAAGTCCCAGGTGACTGGAAAAGGACAAAAACAGTACCCATCTTTTAGAAAGGGAAGAAAAACAATTCAGGAAATTAGAGACCAGTCAGTCTCACCTGAATACCTGGAAAACTTATGGCACACATCATCAATTAATATATTTCTAAGCACCTGGAGGATACCAAAGTGATCAGGAACAACCAACAGGGATTCATCAAGAGTAAGTCATGTTTGATGAACCTGATTTCCTTTCACGGCAAAGTAACACACTTTGTGGAAGGGTAGGAGGAAGAAAGTGGATTTGACTGTAACAAGACTTTCAACATTATTTCATGACACTCTTATCAGAAAGCTAAGGAAAGGAAGTACAGTCTGCACAAAAGTAGTGTTAGTTGGATACAAAACTTGTTGGATCATTTTGAGCAAAGAGTAATCAGTCGTGGATGGCTCTATGTTTAATTGGAAGGAGGTAGTAAGTGGGTTCCCCATGGGCCTGTCCTGAGTTCAGTACTATTTAAAATCTTCATTAGCAATTTGGAGGATAGAATGAAGTGCACACTTAGCAAATTTGTAAATGATACAAAGTGGAGATTCTGAATGATCTTGATAAACTAGAAAAATGGTCCAAAATTAATTGAATGAGATTCAGTAAAGGCAAGTGCAAAATCCCACACTTAAGATGGAAAAATATATGCATAAATACATATTGAAAAATGACTGGTTAGACCACAATACTATAGAAATTATAAATTATAAATAAACCATAAGGTGAATATGGTGCTCCCTTGCTGCAAAGTCCAATAGCATACTGGATTCTATTAACAGGAATGTCACTTACACATCAAGTAAAGTAATTCTTCCACCCTATTCAGTACTGGTGAGGCCTCACCTGGAGTCCTGGGTCCAGTTTGGGGGCACCACACTTAGAGAAAGATGTGGATAAATTGGAAGGAGTCCAAAAGAAATAAACAAGGATTATTAGAGTCTAGAAAACATATTTTATAGGCAAAAGTTGGAAGAAATGGGATTATTTCATTTAGAGAAGGGACTAAGGTGGGATTTAATAATATGCTTCAAATATCTGAAGGATGACTATAAAGAGAGAGTGATAAGCTATTCTCTTTGGCTGCAGGGAACAGGACAAAAAATAGCAATCTTAAGCTGCAACAAGGGACATTTAGGTTGGATTAAGGTAGATAAGCTGGTCAATTGATTTATCAAAAAATTTATTTATTTATTAGATTTATATACTGTCCTTTCCAAAAAAAGCCTCCAGGCAGCTTACAGTAAAAACCAAAATAACTTATAAAAGCAGATAAAATATTAAATATAAGAAAAAGTCCCCAAACAATATCCCAGTTTAACCTTCTTTGCTAAATGTCTGGCCACATAAAAAATCTTGCAGTGCTTCTGGAAGATATTCAGGCTCAGACTGTGGTGGGCCACAAGGGGAAGGAAGTTCCAGAGCAGAGAATACCTTCCCAAGTGTTTTTAGATTTAGAGCACAGATGCAGGAGGTTATCTTGACTGACCTTAGGGGCCAACGTGGGATGTAAGCGGGGGGGGGGGGTGTTCCCTTAGGTATATAGGGCCCAGATTGTTTAGGACAAGGGTGGGCAAAATATGGCCCATGGACTAAATCCAGGCCACCAACTGATTGTATTATGCCTGCAGGTGGGCGGCCACAAACTCATGGGATCTGACTAATGGGCAGCTGGTAGCTCTGGCTCCAGCCGCCGCATTGTGCCAGGCAGGTGAGGCTGTTTCCACCCAGCACTGACATGGCAGCATTAGCTGTGGACTCAGGCAGATGCCCAGCTCCCCACAGCTGATGTCGGTACCTGGCCAGGGCTGCTTCCTGAGTGCCGGGTGGGTGCTGGTGTAAGCTGTGAATGCGGCTGGCATATTCCAGGTAATGGTAGGGATTGGGGCTTGGTGCTGCTCTGGGTCACAGCGGGGATCAGGGTGTTCTGCAGCTCCAGGCAGAGGGGAATTGGGGCATGCTACAGTTCCAGGTGGTGTGAGAATGCAGGGGGAGAGGCTGAAGTGTGGCCCTGGGTTTAGGAGTTTTGTTGAGCTGTTGTCAGGGCTGGGGGGGAAGTGCTCATCCAGCGCATGACAGCTCACCAAAACTTTCTATGTGACTATCCAGACAAAACCAGGGCCTTAAAAACTTTTAAAGATGGAGATTCCACAACCTCTCTGGGTAACCTGTTCCAGTGCTTTACCACCCTTCTAGTGAGAAAGTGTTTCCCGACATCTAACCTAAATTTCCTTTGCTGCAATTTGAAACATTGGATGTCTTTACACATGCTCTGGGGTGGGCGGTGGAGAGGGGAGGTGAGATGTTTTAAATAGAGCAGCTCTTGGGAGCAGCTCTAATTAAAGCATCCACAGCGTCTTGTGTATTCAGCATCCCAAGCTTCAAAATGGCAGTGGGGACATTTTAACAAAAGGTTTTTCAATGAGCTTTAGTTTTGAAGTGTGGGGATGCTGAATACATATGACACCAAAGCGCTGGGAGATGCTAATGAGTCTGATCCAATGTGTGCCAATTAGCATGCATTGGAGCAGTCATCAGGCACCTGTATAGGTGCCCATTGCTCCTTCTTCTGTCATATGCCACTGTTGCGTGATTGTACACATTATGGGGGTTTAGTCCCCTAAATTGAAATGGCAGATTTATAATTGTGAAGATTAAAAACGTACTGTTTCAATTTAGGGACTTCTATCACTGTTACAGCTAGGGGCCCAATTCTTTTATTTTTTCGCAGAGGGTGAGCTACCAGTGGACTCAGCAGCCCCTGAGCTGTGGGGAAAAGCTTGAGAGAGTCCAGAGAAGAGCCATCCATATGATGAGAGACTTGCAAGGCAAGCCACATGAGGAAAGGCTGGGGGACTTGGGTCTCTTCAGCCTAAAAAAGAGAA